GTTCAATAAGCTGATTGGTCTATAGTTTTCTAGGTGCGCCTTGTCTCCTTTCATGCGTAGTAAAATTATTACTGCGTTGTTCCATGTTTTTGGTATGCAACAATCTGATAGACAAAGGTTAAACAACATTTTTATTTGGTTGACAAGGGCACGTCCTCCTATTTTTATAGCTTCTATTACGACTTCATTCTCTCCTGACGCTTTGTTGTTTTTCATCTTTTTCATTGCGTCCTGGATTTCGCTTAGTGTGATCTCTGGCATGAGCTCTGAACCCTCTGAAGCTTCCAAGTTCTTTTGGTCTTCTCTTTGGCTTGTGTATAGTTCTTGATAGAAGTCTTCAACTATGTGTAGTAGCTCTTCTCTATTCTCTATGTGGTGACTCCTTCTTTGTTCTTTGGTTTGTATATTTCGCATTTTCCATTGTTTAGTCGTCTTCTCAGGACTTTCAGACTTTTATTCTCTTCTATAGTTCGCTGGACTTTTTCATCTTTTTCATTCTTAAATTTCCTTAAATCTTTCCTTATAGCTTTGATATTTCTTTGTTTATTTTTCGCAGTTCTTCTTCGTCAATGCTTTCTTTTACTTTGATTTTTCTTCTAGTTTCCATTAGTTGCTTTGTTTCAATGGTTATTTTTTTGTCTTCGCATCTTTTGGGGCAGCATTTTACTTGAGCCTTTTGAATAGCTTCTACGATATTTTTGTTTAGGGCATTTACATTATTCATGCATTCATTTTGTTGTAGGATTTCATTGTTATTGCCTTGATATTCATTTAAATTCATTGAATCGTTCCATATTGGGTTGGCTTTCTTCCTAATTATTTTGGATCTTTCAGTTGTTAAGTCTAATCTTAGTTTGGCTCTTACCATTCTATGATTGCTGCTTGTGGTAAAACTATTAAGGACTGTGACATCGTTGAATATATATTTTTTGTCAGTAATTATGTAGTCTATCTCGTTTTTGGTTTTACCATCTGGGCTTTTCCACGTCCATCTTCTGTGATGTTTTTTAGAGAAGAAACGATTCATCTGGTATATAGTTTGATTTAATAGAAATTCTAGTAGTGTTTGTCCACGTTCGTTTCTGCCTTTAGATTAAAATTTACCTAGTGCTGTTTCCTGTTCATCCTGATTTAGACCGATCTTTGCGTTAAAGTCGCCGCTTATAATCGTGTAGTATGTTGGTGTTTCTTTCAGTGCCGCAAAGTTGTCATCGTAATAGTCTTCAATCTCCTCGTCCAGATGGTCCGCTGTTGGTGCGTATACCGGAATAATCTTTATTTTATATCTTTGCTTTAGCTTTACGAATAAATAGGCTACTCTTCTGTATATACTTCTTGTAATTACTGTGTCATCTGCAAGTTTTTTGTGTATAAAGAATCCGACTCTCCCGATTGATTCTTTTTTACTACCTATACTGTAAAATATATGCCCTGATTTTAGTGTTGTCAGGTTTTCTACATGTCGTCTTACTTCACTGACTCCAATGATATCCCATTTTACTTTTGACATCTCGATTTCCATTTCAGTAAATTTTTCTTCAGATAATATTGTTCTGGCATTGTAGGTACAGATAAAGAGTGGTAAAGAGTGTCAGTTTTTTGTCCCACCCCAGAATCCTTGGCATAGACTGATAAAGTGTACATTTTGGCCGCTTTTGTTGTAAAATCAAACATTTTATTGTGAAGTATTTGTCTTGAAACACCACGCTGGCAAGGCGGGTTTGTAAGTTTTTAATTCAGCCGCTCATTGTGAGTACCGACACGCTGTTTGAAACCGCCCGCTCTGGGTCAGACGCTTCTAGGTTTGTGATCTTATACTACCCCTAAGTATCCCTGGAGATTATCGCCGTCGTAATATTCGTGTTTAGTAAGCCCAAAATCCCCGAGTAATGATTTTTGACTGTTTTTGAATAAAAATAACATAATATTCAATGAATCGAGGCCCATACCGTTGTCCAGGTAGCTCTAGGATCATAGCTACCATAGTAAATGTGTCCATTGACCTAGAAAACCCCAGATTAATGACTTTAACCTAAATTTGAATGAAAATAACAAAAATCTTCAGAAGACTAGGTTCACCCAGGGTACGAGGTATCTCAACAAGTAGCTCAAGGATCATCGTCGTTAATATCTTAGTTGCATTTTTTTTCTATGCTTTAGAAATGCATTTTTTATTTTAAAATCTAAAATTTTGTTCACAAACTTTTCAGATTCGAATGCAAAGTTTAATAGAGATTTATCTTGCTGAGAAAAATTGCTAGGTTGAGTGCTTCGATCCAATGATGGGTGAATAAGAAAATATGTAGCTCCTATTTGCTCTTAAGATTTTGTAAATTTCAAAATGAATTATATTATTTTGATTATTTATTTATTTTAACGATGTGCATGATATTATCATTTATCTTTATTGATTAAAACATTATGACACGTTTAACGGAGATACTGTAAATATACACAAATAATTGCTCATCGTTCTTGGAAAGATTAGATAGCGTGGCTGATAAAAATGTAGCGGGAGATATGTGTGTATGGTAAAATCAACCTGTTCAACATGTAATCAGAAAATTTGCTCAGTACAAGAGAAGTGAATAAATAAATACAATAAGTAAATAACTATTGAAAAAGCCACACTAGTCAAAAAATATTCGTATAATCTATTAAATGGAAAATATATTTGAAAATCTCTAACTGCAGTTACTATCAAACTTAATAAATAAAAAATGTATATTTAAATAGCCACATTAGTTACTATTTATAAAATATATTATTTAATAAAAATGTAACTTACTGGATATCTTTTTATATTTGTCATGTTCATTACCAGACTCAACACTTTCAAAGTACCGGAATGTAGGACCATCATTCTGCGAATAATGTACACCATACACAACAGTAGTAACCAAAGCAAACACTATCAAACTTATTAGACCAGTCATTTTGATGACCTCTCGTTTTGATCTGTGCTTAAAACTAACATCGATTCCATAGGATCCACTTGAAATCCGAGAAAATTCATACTCTCTTGATAACGTTGACATGAAATCACCCAAATAACTAATTTAATGTTAGTAAAGTTAAAACCGACCGAGTTTATTAGAATTGTTTCTTATCTCTATGTTTTCCTACGAGGTTTATTTTAAAAGTATCTAACGATGGAATAAAATATATACACCTGTTTAATATAAACGGTTAAATCAATTTTATAATAATAAACATTTTGATCGTTTATGTCTATAAAATTTATTTGATGTGTATCAATGCTCATGTGTATCAGTTCAGATACTAATTTGATATCGATAAGAAAATTCGCACAGTGGGTACCTACAATTAAATAAAACACCAGATTGTATTAATGGCGATAATCATTAAAACAATGTTTTTAATTAGTATGCTTAGTAAATAATAAATTTATACAGGGTGACAATTTTAAAACTTTCCATCGTTAATATCTTCATTTTCATATATAACATGAAAAATCGGAAAATGGACAGGTCAATATTGTTTTCAATGGGAAGATTTTCTATGAATATGTTAAGCCTTCAAAGTTTAAACCTCTAGCAAAGATAAGCGTTACATATATATTGTTTTTGCTAATGATTGCATCTAAAAACAAGAGTGCGCCAGTGTGGCTCATATATTTTTTATCTATCCCGCTCTTCCCTTAGGGACTACTTATATTGAAACAGTTACCAAAAGCAGGCCTTGATACAAATGAAAGT